AGGATGCAGGAAGGGAGGAGGAAAGGAGGTAGGAGGAGGAGAGGAGGAGGAGGTAGGTAGGAAGGAGGGAGGCGAAGGGGGGGAGGAGGAGGAGGAGGAGGAGGAAGAGGATTAGGAGGCGGAAACGGAGGACTCCGGCGGGCGGCGGCGGATGATTCGGTCGGCGGCGGCGTTAGGCTTCTGTATTTCTACTGCGTACCTTCGTCGGACTTCTCGGTTCCGTGCTGTCTTCTTCGCTTTGACCGGCGACCAACCTCGCACCTCATGGGCTCATCAGTCTACCACATGGACCCTCCGCCCGTAACGCCCGAGAACTCCATCGCCGCACTGTGTCACCGAGAGGCCGCGCGCGAGGCGGACGGGGGTGCGGAAGTACTTTCCGCTGCGCGGTGGTCCGCAATCCCCGTCGAACGACGAGCGCATTGGTGGCGGGTGTACAGCGCAAGCACCGTGTTGGCCGGGCCGCCGTCGCTTTGCGTTGGCCGTGGATTGGGATCGCTGGGGTGTCGTCATGTTGCCCGATGAAGGTTGCCAGGCGCACTGGCGCAATTGGTGCCCTCTTCGCGCGTCGCACAAGTGGCGCGTCTGATGCGCGCGGCACAATTGGCGCGCGTGGCGCATCAGGCGCACCTGGCTTCTGTATAGGCCCCCACTGGCTGTGCACTGGATGGCGGTCCCCCCCTACGTATGCTGAGCCTCAGGTACTACTTCCGCATGCGGTGAGGAAGCGTCCGAAAGTGAGCGAGATTGTTTGTGGCGTTCCCTTTGAGCATTTGGCCGAATCCGCCCGTCCGCTCATCCGTCACCCTCTCCTCCCCCACTTCCCTGTTCTTTGACTCCCTTTCTGCCCCTTCACCTTCTTCTGTCCTCTGACCCACCTCCTCGAAGGCAGGCCAGTCCACCATCCAGCCAGCTCAGCGAGCAGCCCCCATCCCTTTCCCTGCTTCGTGTGTATCCTACTCTTCCACCTGGCCGCTAGGGGCCCCATCCGGGCGGCTCCCAGTCCACCATACTTGATACAACATTTACGCTCGCTTCTGCTCAACATGGACCTTTTGGCGTCGACGCTGCAAACTGCGCGGCTTGGATGGGACGAGGCGCACACCGCGCGCGAAAGGGCGAAGCGTCGCTCTCGCCCTGGTGCCGCGCCCCCTCCTCTTGAGAGCTGAGCTCCCCCCGCCAAAGGCGCTCGGGCGCGGCACGCATGCTCCGCCCGCCGGCTCGCCGGCGCGCGAGAGCCTCAGCGCCGTTCAGACTTCCCCCGACTGCGGCGCCCCCGTGCCAGCGCGGCGTACAGTCGGGGCCCTGAAGAAGGAACCCTTTTCGTTGGGGAGGGGCTCCGCGTTCCTCAAGTGTTACACAGCTTGCCTCAGGCTTTCCTTATGTCTTCGGCAGGAAATCGATGGTTAATTTATGGAAAAAAGGGGCCTCGTTCCTTACTTAGGGTTCCTTAGGTCAAAGCCCCGACTGTATACCTGCCGCTCGCCCAAGTCCTTTGGGGGCGGGGCCGCGCGCGAGCGTGCGACCCGTCGCCGGCGCCTCCGCCCTGCTGAGCTCCGCGCAGGTTTCGCTTGGGAGTGGCCTTCCCACGAGGGCCCGGCGCATGGTTCGCTTGGGAGTGGCCCTCCCGCGAGGGCATTCCCTTGGCTTTTGTTCAGTTTCGTGCGTGGTTTTTTCGCCAAATGATCAAGGATGCTCCTCGATTGTCCTCGCCGAAGGGAAGATGCACACGCCCGAGCGATGCCAAGCCCATGTGTTGGGCCTCTGGGGGCCCTCGCTGAGCCGCGGGACCGCCAACAAACGCCGTGGGATGAGAAGACGGTCCCGGGGGAAGCCCTGACCCCCGATCCGCCCTACTTTGGCTTTTTTTCCAACTTAAAATTGCGTCGGAGATCCACCTATGAGAAGCCGAAGAAGTAGGGCGGAAATTGTTGAACCCAACATGAAACAGGGCGGACATCCACAGAAGTAGGGCGGAAACAGCAACAGAAAAGTAGGGCGGACATTGGCCTCAGCGGGGCTTGAAAAGTAAGGCGGGAATTCCAAGCCCTACTTACGAAATTCCCAAAAGTAGGGCGGATCCGGAGTCAGGGCACCGCTGTCGCACGACAGCGTCGGCAGCAGCGGGGCCGCGCGAGAGCGGGCGAGATGCTGTCCCCGCCGCTGCGCCGCGCAGCTGGTGCGTGAACGTAGCAGTGCTGCTGAGGCGCGGCGCATGCCTTGTCTTCGCCGCGCCCATGGGAAGCCTGGCCGCCCGAAGGGGGGGCTAAATGGTGCTGCCGCCGCAGAGACGGCGCCCGTGCGCGGCCCGCGCTCGCTGGCACTCGCCACTTCGGAGGCGGGGCCGCGCGCGAGTGCCTTTGGTCCGTCGAGTCGTCGGCGGCGGGGCCGCGCGCGCGAGCGCCTTCCGTTCGCTGGGCGGAAGAACGCTCCAGCTCCAGATGTCAATGTGTGTCGCCATTGATGGCTCGACCTGGCCAAGTCGACCCCCTCCCTGCTCCTCCTCTCGCTGCCCCTGCTCCTCCTGATGCTCCTCCCGCCCCCCGGCCCGAGCCGACGCCACCCTTCGAGGATGCTCCCGCTTCCACCACCTCCTCCTCCTCCTCCTCCTCCTCCTCCTCCTCCTCCTCTCTTCACCCTACTCCTACTCTTCCCTCCTCCTCTCCTCCTCCCCTCCTCCTCCTCCTCCTCCTCCGCGTCCTCCTCCTGTTGGGTTAAGCGGACTCTAGGTGCAAAGCTGTAGCGCCATCTCTCCTCCTCCTCCTCCTCCTCCTCCTCCTCCTCCTCCTCCTCCCTCGCCTCCTCCTCCCCTCCTCCTACCCCCTCCTCCTCTCCCCTCCTCCTCCTCCTCCTCCTCCTCCGCCTCCTCCTCCTCCTCTCCTCCTCCTCCCTCCTCCTCCTCCTCCTCCCCCCCCCACTCTTCTCCTCCTCCTCCGCCTCCTCCTCCTCCTCCGCCTCCTCCTCCTCCTCTCTCCCGCCCCGCACCAGCCCGCCCGCCCCGCCGCCCGCCCGCCCGCCCTTCCTCCCTCCATCCCTCCCTTCCCTCCTCCCTCCTCCCTCTCCTCTCTCCCTCCCTCCCTCCTCTTCCCCCCCCCCTCCCCCCCCCGAGGACAACCGCTGGAGCTCCGTCATGGGCGTGGCGGACATCGTCCGCGACCTCGTGGAGGCCGTCGGCGCGGGCGGCCCGCCGCAGGGCGCGGCATGCTGCGACGGCGCGCGCCGCGAGGCCGACGACGTCGACATGTCGTGAGGGCGGCCGGCCGCAGCGCGGCCGCATAGCCCCGGGCGCGGGTCGGGGAAACCGCAGCGCGGGGCCCAGACATCGGGCGTCTCGGGAAACTCGAGGCAGAGGTGTTTCATAGTTTCTGGCCTCTCGGGGCCGTCAAAAAACGACTCGGGATGAAAATTCGGTCCCAGGGAAGCGGTCGGTAGGTCGGGGCCCGCGTCTCGAAAACCTGGAGACGTCGGATGTCTGGGGGGGAGGAGGGGGGCTGCGGGAGGATCGGACGGGCCTAGAAACGCGATGGATCCGTTCCGGGGCGTTCCGGAGCACGCTCTCGGAGCGTTCTCCAGAGCGCTTTGGAACGGCCGCGGCGCCCGATGCATCCTCCGAGCCCTCCGATTCCTAGAGATTTCTGAGTCATACCGGTCCGATTTTGTCTCGATGTTGTTTTCGTCGTAGGGGAGAAGGGAGGAGGGGGAGGAGGGAGGAGGAGGGAGGAGGAGGGAGGAGGAGGAAGGATGGAGGGAGGAGGGAGGAGGGAGGAGGGAGGAGGGAGGGAGGAGGTAGGAGGGACGAAGGAGGAGGGACGCGGGAGGAGGGAGGAGGGAGGGAGGAGGATCCCCGAGGGTGTAACTTCCCTTGGCCTTCAAGATATGAATCAGCGCCGTTACCGGAACGTGCCAGGACAAACTGCTCACCAGCGCGGGTCCCAAACGGCCGGCCCTCACCTTCTGGATCTGCGAGCGGTGTGGTTGTGCAAGCGAGGCGGTGCAGTCTGCGCGGGTCAGGCGAGGCACGCGCGCCATCTGCGTGGTGCAGCCTGTGTGGTGCACGCTGCGCGCGGCGCCAGCCGGGCGATGCAGATGCCCAGGAGGCCACGGACGGCGGCCGTGCGAGAGCACAGGGAGCCCGGCCGGCGCCACGAGGCGGCGCCACGGAGCGGCGCCACGAGGCGGCGCCCCGAGGCGGCGCCGGGGCGAAGCCAAGGAGGACCCCGCCGGCGCGCGCACGGGGCGGCGGCCGGGCGACTGCACGGGAGCCACCCGGCTCTCCGAGAACCGCAGCAAGAGCCCCTCGGTGCAGGCACCTCCTCCTCGTCCTCCCTCCTCCTCCTCCTCCTCCTCCTCCTCCTCCCCTCCTCCTCCTCCTCCTCCCCTCCTCCTCCTCCTCCTCCTCCTCCACTCCTCCCCTCCCCTCCTTCCTCCTCCTTCCTCCTCCGTCCCTCCTCCTCCGCCCCTCATCCTCCTCCCCCTCCCTCCCCTCCTCCTCCTCCCTCCGCCTCCTCCTCTCCCCCTCCTCCTCCTCCTCCCTCCCCCTCCTCCTCCTCCTCCTCCTCCTCCTATCCTCCCGCTTCTCCCCTCCTCTCCTCCTCCCTCCTCCTCCTCCTCCTCCTCCCCCTCCTCCTCCTCACTGCAGTGGAGGACAGGTGCACGGAGCGCGGCCGCGGCGCTCGGACGGGCCCCGCACTCCGGGCCCCGCGCCCGGGGGCGGCGTGCGGCAAGCCCGCTCGGGGCACCCTCCTCCGAGCCGCCCTCGGGCCGAAGAGTGGCCCGAGGCAGCGCGCAAGCCGCTGCTGCCGCTTCGCGTTCAGTGGTCGGGGGGCCCCTGGGGGCCCGCTTCAGAGGTCACTCCGGCGACAGGTCACTCTCCGAAGAGTGGCCCTCAGGCCGAAGAGTGGCCCGAAGAGTGGCCTCGTTTCTGCTCTGCTCGTTGGGCAGCGACGCCAGCGCGCCACAGGCGCGCTGCGGGCGTGCCTTGTTCCCAGCCTCCTTAGAGGGCCAGCAGCGCGCCACAGGCGCGCCCTGTCTCCCTTGCAGGGACGCCAGCCCTTCCCGGCGGCGGCAGCTTCGTTCCTTCGCCCGTTGGGCGGTGAGGATGGAAGCGCGCTGGAGACTGGCTGCGGGCAGGCCTCGGCAGGTTGACGATCAGGCCCCGTGCGGGGCCATTCGCGGGTGGTAGCGACGACGACGACGACGACGACGACGACGACGACGACGACGACGACAATGACGACGACGACGACGACGACGACGACGACGACGACGACGACGACGACGACGACGACGACGACGACGACGGCGACGACGACGACGACGACGAGGTCGTGGCGTCATCCCGCCGCGCACCAGGGAACGTGGTGCGCTGACAAGAACGTTTGCGCAGCGTGTCGCTCCGCCAGTTCTGGCCAAGCACGCCTCGGCGCGACACGCCGACCACGACACGGTCCCCAGGCCTCAGCGCCCCGTCCCGCGGTTCAGAGCGGCGCGCTATCCGCTTGCAGGGCGTGGCGTGTCGCCGGGGCCGCCACGGCGACGCGCTGAGGCGAAGAAGCTGGACCGTAAGACCGCGAGGCCACTGCATTGTGATTCTGGAAGTTGGGTGCCGGGGCTCTTAGGGGGCCCCAGCCAAGGTCGGGCGCATACGGTCTGTACTGAGGAGACTCAGGGGGGAAAAAAACACAGACACCATTAATCGTCGATTCCCTAGAAAATATGCGAAAATATGGGAAGTGGGGGGAAGACAAAAACCCAGAAAGCATGGGGAAATATGGGGAATATGGTTATGTGTGTGTGTATTCATTTGTGTGTCCCAGGGCCCCGTCAGAGACACACCGCGTGGTGCTCCCTGGCCAACTGGGCCAGGCACTTCTGCCTCCGGGTCAGGCCCCTGGGGCACGCCCTCCTGCCCCGAGCCGAGGCGGACGGCCCGCGATTTCCCCGCGGGCGCGCTCGCGTCGGCCGCCATGGAGATCCTGGGCGCTTCGTCCGTCAGTTCTGTATCCGCTTCCTCCTCCTCCTCCTCCTCCTCCTCCTCCTCTCCTCCTCCTCCTCCTCCTCCTCCTCACCTCCTCCTCCTCCTCTCCCCCCCCCTCCCTCCCCCCCCCCCTCTTGTGGGAGCTGGGGGAGGCCTTCCCTGGGTCTACCCACGGCCTTCTTCCCCTAAGCTCGGAAAGGGCGAAAGGGGGATGGGAAAGGGGGGTTACGAAATCTGCTGCATGCGGCTGGTTTCGGCTGCGCCGGGAAAATCAGCTACGTGAGCTGATTCTCAAACCCCCCCTTTGCTATCCCCCCCTTTCGCCCGACCTGGTAAGCCTTCCCACTGGCCTACCAGAGGCCTATCCTCAGACCCTAGGGTAGGGCCGACCTACGGCTACCCTGGGGCCTTGTGTAGGTCCTACAGTCGGACCAAAGTATAAGATCGAGGTTGGTTCGGGGAGGGTGCCCTAGTGGCCTTCGTATTTGTTGGACGTGATTGTGCATCCTGGGCAGAGTACCCCTGGACGTTCTCCTTGTTTTGGCCGACGGACGATCTCATGTTCTTGAGGGATGTTCTTCTGGTCTAGGTTCGACTGTATAGAAGCTGGAGGGAAGGCATTCCATGGGTCTACCCCACGGCCCTTCTACCCCGAATCAGGAGGGGAAACACACACAGACGCAATGAATCGTCGACTCCCAGGAAGATATGGCAAAATATGGAAAATTGGGGGAAACGCAAATCCAGAAAGTATTGGAAAATATGGGGGATCCTCGGGTTTGTGTCTATTGATATGTGTGTGTGTGTGTCTCTGGGCCCCTTAAACTAAGCCTCCCCCCTGGCCTACCCAGGGTAGGGCCGACCTCAGGCTACCCTGGGGCCTTTGTAGGTCCTATCTACAGGGTCGCCTTCCCCCCGCGGGCTCTACCCTGAGATCCTGGCGTTACAATTTTTTCACACCGGGCGTTTCCGATCCGCTTCGGGCTCGAAAAATGACACATAAAGATGGGATCCGCGGCTCTGGTCGTGATTTTTGGCGATGCTGCATCTTGCTCGCGCCGTCGGACCTCGGGGTATACCATGCGCCCACCGCCCGCAACCGCCATGGCTCAGGCCCCCCTGCCGGCGGCGGGTCCCGGCCGTACGCCCCTATGGCAGGCAAGGCCGGCAGGACTGGAGACCGGGCCCCGGTCGGCATAGCCCTCAGGGCCCGGCCCAGCAAACCAGACAGGCTTGTGGAAGTCGATTAATGGAGAGGAAGCGCGCTGCCAGATCACCTACAGATGTGTAACATGTGTTTCAGGTCTGTGCCAAATATGTTAAACACAGGCTTCAGGCATGTTTAGATCATGTTTTATACATTTTAAATGAACGCATATTTAGTTCAATGATAGGACCGTCAGGGTGTCCATTGTCGTGGCATCCACAAAGACAGGCGGCAGGACCGGCGGCCCACCACGCCGCCGAGGAAGCCGCCCAAGCGCCCCCCCGGCGCGGGCGGCGGCGCAGAGCCCGCTGCGCCGCAGGCGGAGCTGGCCGCGCCCAAGGCCGAGGACGTCGGGTCGACCGAGGCGGCGCACGGGCCGGCCGCGCCGCCCGCGGCAGCGGCCGGCGCCCGGGCGCACTCCCGGCAGCAGCTGAGCTGGCTGAACGACCCCCCCGGCGTGCTCGAGCTGAAGGTGGGCGGCCCGAAAGCAGACACCGCCACCACCTCCCTCACCCCCCGCCCCGTCGCCCAGGAAGGAGGAGAGGAAGAGGAGGGTAGAGGAGAGAGGAGCAATCGACGTGGTGGTGTATATTTTTGGGTACCCATGAAGGCTCAGCTCAACGAGATGGGCGTCGCCATCCCCGTGGGCGTCTCCGAGAAGCCGGAGCTGGAGCAGCTGCTGCTGCGGGAGAAGGAGCGGGGCGGGAGCTAGCATGCGCAACTGCTGCCCGGGGGGTCGATCCTCGGGGATCTCGGCAGGCGGTGGATACGGACACATTCGGCACGCCTGGGGCCAATATACATCCACGTTCACCGCCCGCAGGGTTTCAGGACGTCGGTTCCCCCAGGCGGTGGATATGGATACACATATATATATATATATATATATGTATAAACATACATATCTATATATATATACATAGATACATATATAATATATATATATATATAATAAATAGGTATATATATATAATATATATATATATATATATTATAACTATTATATCGGGCTGGGGACGCCGGAAAAAGCCCCCCCCTAACTGATTTGGCCCTCCCCGGGCCTCCGGGCAACCCTCCAGACGACCCAGGAGAACCTCACGAGAGTCCGAAGACGGCCCCAGACGGGTTCCAGGCGTTCAGGCGCGCTCCCGACACGACCCCAGAGAGCCCCAATGCGGTCCACGACGACCCCCAAGAAGCCGTCATACCCCAAAGATCGCTCCCAACCTTCCCAAGAGGCCTCCGCGAGCACTCCCAAGAAGGCCCCAAGAGGCAAGAATCATTGGTTTTGTGTTGGTTTTTAGTGAATTTGGGAGTTTTCCTCTTTTCGGCTTCCCGACGCTTCAAGATGGCGGTCTTCTGGGCGTCCGAAGCCGCCTAGGAGGCTCCAAAATCGCCCCGCAACCATCCGAAAGGGCTTCCAAAACGGCACAACAGGAGTCCAAAATAGCCCTAGAGAGCCCCATGGCGGCCCAAGATAGCCCCAAGACACCCTCCGAAGCATTCAAAATCGTGACCCGGTCGTTCATGGAGACCGCGGCTGGAGGCAGGGTGGCCCGAGGAAGCCCCCAGAGGCCCCCAGAACACGCCCAGGAGGCCTCCAGAAGGCCTTGAGAAAGCCTGAAAAACTTTTGTGAGGCTCCCAGAGGCTCTCCAAGGAGGAGCCTCCGCAAAAAGAGCTGAGGAGGATGGGGAGAATGCGCAGAACATGGCGAGAATGAGGAAACAGAAACATGGAGGAAAGATAGCGAATCATATTATTATAGCGGCGGTGCTGGAAAAGGCAGCAAGGAGTGATCGCTAAATTGTCGACTTGACCTTCCTGCCATTCCGCCTGCACACCAAACTTCAAGGACCAAGGTGCACGGCGCGATTATATATATGTATGTATATATATGTGTAAACCTGTATATATATATATATGTATATATAGACATATATACATATATATATATATCATGTCATGTGCACCTATATGTATATATGTGTAGGCGTGTACACATAAACATAGATATGTGTTATACATAAAAGTGTTATACATACCAAACATAAATCCCCAGGCCGAAAGTTTTTCCTCGTGGACTTAAAAATTTGATAGCACCAATGGATCCAATTGGATCCCTTTTCGGGTGTGGGAGAGTTTCGTGGATCCTATTTCTGTGCTGCGCGGATCCAATTTCCTGTGTGTGAAAAAAAACGATGGATCCATTTATTTCCTGGGAATATATATATATATATATACACACATACACATACACTAATAATAATAATAATAATAATAATAATACTAATAATACTAATAATAATACTACTACTAATAATAATAAAAATAATAATAATAATAATAATAATAATAATAATAATAAGCATCCGGGACCCAGGGGAAGTTGGATCTGCGGAGCTCCGCAAGTGAAGCATCATGTTATCCACGGAACTACGGATCTGCAGACCAATGCTATGATTATACGGGGGACGGGGGGTCTTCCCAGGATGACGAGGGGACGGATGAGGGAAGAGGCAAGAGGAGGTGGGAGGAGAACAGAGGGGACGCAGGGGGGGGGAGAGGAGGAATAATCAGGGAAGAGACGGGGGGAGGAGGAAGGAAAAGGAGAAGGAGGATGAGGGAGGAGGAAGGAGAGAGGAGGGAGGCGGACGGACGAAGGAGGAAGGAGGAGGAGGAGGGGGGAAGTGGGAGGAGGAGAGGAAGGGATGAGGGAGGGCGAGGACACACAAGCAAAGTGTCCAAGTCGGAAGCTCGAGCGCCACAGCGGGCCCGGCCACCTCCCTTCACTTCTCCCATAACATGTGGTTGCTCTCACCTAAACGGCGCGTCGCTTCCGACGTGTGGGGCTCAAGAGGGAAATCTCTCGGCCTGCGGAAGTATATACGTTATCCCGCCTCGCAGAAGGAGCGCCGCTGGGCCGCGTCCCGGGCGCCGCCGGAACCGCCGGCCGCCCCATCCCCAGACCCCCGACGTCATGATTTCCTCACGACGTCGACCCCCAGAGGTCGGCGGCGGAAAAGGGGGGGGGTGATGACTAGGGGGGGGTGGAATCATGGCGGGGGCTGTGATATCTCCCCAGATTTCATGGCGCCGTTGCTTATTTCATTACGTCCCTGGCCCCCCCGCTGGGCCGCGCACGTGCCGCCGGTCATGATTTGCACCCCCCCTTCTTGGACACCCCCCTCTATCCCGCCCCCGAAGAGGTCTCGACCCATTTCTGCCCTGCGATCTGGCGTTGCGAAAAATTACAGCATCGCGAAAAGAAGCACCCCCAGAACTCTAGACCCCATCCTTCTGCGGCAGTCTTCGAGCCGGATCGATCTGTGAGGGTCCCGGGGCCCGAAACTAGGGAAAACGTCGGGTGTGAAACATTTGCAACGCCAGGATCTCAGGGCGAGTCGTTTCTTGACGGTCACCAGGCCCGGTAAGGGAGGAGGAGGCGGAGGCGGAGGCGGAGGAGGAAGAAAAGGAGGAGGAAGAAGGAGGACGAGGAATAATAGGAGGAAGAGGAGAGGAGGAGGAGGAGGAGGAGGAGGAGGAGGAGGAGGAGGAGGAGGAGGAGGAGGAGGAAGAGGCCCCCGAGGCCGAAAATAGTGACACATCGTCCGTCGTGATTTTATCTTGGCTCGCGGGGGTCCGGGTCGGCGCCGCCCGCGGCCACCGGCAGCGCCTCGCAGCCGCGGCCCGTGGCGCGCACAGTGCCCAAGGCCAGGGCGCTGCGGCCACCGGCAGCGGGCCCGCTGGCGGCCTTCGGGGCTCCAGAGACGGGGGGCCTCTGCAAACGACCCCGACTCCAGATCTTCCCTACTCTTCAGCGGGCGAAGAACGGTATAAAATAAACTTTTTCGCCGTTGGGGACACCTGCCCCTGGGCGGCCGGAAAGTTTATACCCCTACGGTGGCACCGTAAGGGTATAAACTTTCCAGCCGCCCAGGGACAGGCGCCCCCGACAGCGAAAAAGTTTATTTCATACCGTTCTTCGCCAGTTAATTTTCTTCCCCACTTAAAATTGCGTCGGAAATCCGCCTACAAGAAGCCGAGCAAGCAGGGCGGAAATTTCTGCACCCAGCGTAAAAGAGGACGGAAAGCCGCAGAAGGAGGGCGGAAACAGCCACAGAAAAGCAGGGCGGAAGCTGGCATCAGCGGGGCTTGAAAAGTGAGGCGGAAATTCCAAGCCCTACTTACGAATTTCCCCCAAGTAGGGCGGATCTGGAATCAGGGCTGGGTCTGGATTGGCCCGGGTCAGCAGATCCCCGAGGCCTCGGGGCAGCAGCGGCAGCAGGCGCCCGCGGCGCCTCGGACGGTCTTGTTCAGGACGCTCTCGCGTGCGCCGCCCGCCACCCCAAACCCTTCTCGACCAGACGTAAGGGTGGCGCTTCGCCGGAGGGGCCTTTTGGTGCGTGCCCACTGCGGTCCTCCGAGCGGCAGAGCGTGAAGCGATAGGAGCGGATCGCGCGCCTGGGTCTGGCCTCCCCCCGCGTCCCCCAGCAAGTCACCACCCACCAAACCACCCCAACCCAACCCGAAGGCCTCAATGTGCCCTCCATTTCCAGTTGGGGGGGGGGGTCGGGGAACATTGAAAAAGGCGCATGGAACCTGTACCCCACTCAACCCGGAATCCGGGTCAAATTCGGGTCTTCAGGTTGGGTTGGGGTGGTCTGGTAGGTAGTCAGCAAGCCGCGCACCAAAGGCCACCCTTGCCCAGGTCTGAGTAGGCCCTCCGACCGCAGAGCGTGATGCGATAGGAGCGGATCGCGCGCCTGGGTTTGGCCACCCCGCGCCCCCCGGCAACCCAGACATCCGACGTCTCGATTTTTTCGAGACGCGGGCCCCCGACCTCCCGACCACTTCCCTGGGACCGGTGTTTCATCCCGAGTCGTTTTTTGACGGTCCCGAGGCCCGGCGAGGGCCCCGAGAGGCCCAAAACTATGGAAAACCTCTGTCTCGATTTTTTCGAGGCGCCCGATGTCTGGGAAGCCGCGCACCACAGGCCACTCTTGCCCTGCCGGTCTGAGTGCAGGCCCGTGCGGAGGGCTCGGCCTCCGTCCGGGCCCGCCCCGTCTCGGCTGAGCCTCTCACGACGAGGTGCCGAGCCCGCACGGAGTGCGTCCGCACGGGGTGCGCGGCCATCCGTCTGGGCTCAAGTCGGGCCTGTCCCTCTACAGGGGGAAGATCCAAAAATAGTCCAACAATTGTCTGGGACTAGTTTTTACCTAACAGCTTGTTCTGATAGGTTTCTAGTGGTGTCAAAAGAGAGCAGCAGATGACTCCACAGGGGGGTCTGGGCGGGTGCCGGACAGGGTGCTGCAGAAGTCATTTTAAGCCAACAGTCACACACTTCGTGCTCTTCGACCTCCCAGAACTCCATTCCCGGGCCACATTCTGAATGCCCGGAGCCAACTGTAGGCCACTTCGTGCTCTTCGACTTCCCAGAACTCCATTCCCGGGCCACATTTTGGATGCCCGGAGCCAACTGTAGGCCACTTCGTGCTCTTCTAGTTCCCAGAACTCCATTCCCGGGCCACATTTTGAATGCCCGGAGCCAACTGTAGGCCACTTCGTGGTCTTCGAGTTCCCAGAACTCCATTCCTGGGCCACATTTTTGAATGCTGAGGCAGGCTGATGCTGAGGCTGAGGCAGGCTGAGGCTGAGGCAGGCTGAGGCTGAGGCCGAGGCTGAAGGCAGACTGAGGCCTGAGGCTGAAGCAGGCTGAGGCTGAGGCTGAGGCTGAGGCAGGCTGAGGCTGAGGCTGAAGCAGGCTGAGGCTGAGGCAGGCTGAGGCTGAGGCTGAGGCTGAGGCAGGCTGAGGCCGAGGCAGGCTGAGGCTGAGGCCGAGGCTGAAGGCAGACTGAGGCTGAGGCTGAAGCAGGCTGAGGCTGAGGCTGAGGCAGGCTGAGGCTGAGGCAGGCTGAGGCTGAGGCAGGCTGAGGTTGAGGCTGTGACTGCGACTGCCGTTGCCGCTGCGACTGTCATCGCGAATGCGACTACGACTGCGAGAACAGCAGAATTCTACAACTGGATGTTCATCTGAATCTTAAGGGGAATGCTTTCAGATATGCTTCTACACATCGCTGTTAGGTTGCTTTGCAGGGATAATTTGTAAAGTATTTTTGTTGACAATTTGGGAGCATTGTTTGCGTATCTTCCATGTTTCGCCGACGATTCCCCCTGTGGGGGGACGCGCCCGACTTAAGTCTGGGCCTGCTCCGTCCGGGCACAGCCTCTCCTGACCCCTCCTCCTCCCCGCCTCCCTCCCCGCCCGGTCAGCACGGGCCCACGCGTGGCCGAAGCGCGCCCGGAGGGCGCGGTGATGCCGTGAGGCTGTCGCCACCGCGCTCGCTCTGCCGCCGCCGGGGCCAGGGGCCGCGGCTCGCAGGCGTATAAGCCAGGCAGCGTCCGGGGCCCCCACGGGAGGGAGGGAGGAGGAGGAGGAGGAGGAGGAGGAGGAGGAGGAGGAGGAGGAGGAGGAGGAGGAGGAGGAGGAGGAGGAGGAGGAGGAGGACGAGGAGGGGGCGGGGGAGGGGGAGGGGGCGGGAGGGGGAGGGTGAGGTGGAGGGGGGAGTGGGGAGGAGGAGGATGGAGGGAGGAGGAGGAGGAGGAGGAGGAGGAGTAGGAGGAGGAGGAGGAGGAGGAGGAGGAGGAGGAGAGGCAGGAGGCGGGAGGAGGAGGAGGAGGAGGAGGAGGAGGAGGAGGAGGAGGAGGAGGAGGAGGAGGAGGGAGGGAGGGCGTCGCGGCCGTCATTTTTGCGGGTGCAGGTCCGTCGGTTTCGGTCCCAGGCCGTTTTCACTAAGGGGAGGTTTACGAAAGGGAGGTCTGTCCACCGCCGACTCTTGGGGCCTCCTCGGACTGGCGCCCCTTCGGAGATCTCGGGGCCGTCTTGGAACTTCTTGAGGTGCTCGGCTCGGGGGGCCATCTTGGTGCACGTTTGCCCGCCTCTGGGGTCCCTTGCGTGCCCAGTGGACCTTCTCGGAAGCTACTGCTCCTCATCTTGGCGCCACCTTGTGCCGAAGAGGGGCAAGTGCCAAAAGTGTTGATCTCGCGAGCCCTCACCAGAGCCGCCCTGGAGCCCTTGGTAAACTCCAACGGCCATTCTGCCGCTCTCAGGTCCTCTTGGGGCCATCCTTGCGCCGACTCAGGGAATCTGGTGTCCTCTCGCAGGTCAACCTGAGCAATCTGGACCAGCTTTGAGGTGGCCTCGGGGGGGGGGGGGCAGGGCCAATTTTAGAGGACCCCTTGGCGCCTGGAGCGCGCGTTGGGAAGCCCATCTCCCCCCCCCCCCTCAACGGGGGGGGCTGGCCCCCTGAGTGGAGGGCCCGGGCAGGGCTCGGAGGGGGGGCGGCACGCGGAACGCCCACAGACCTCGACCCTCGAGGAGGAGGAGGAGGAGGAGGAGGAGGAGGAGGAGGAGGAGGAGGAGGAGGACGACGACTCACGCACCCTCTCGCCCCTTGGAAGCTACGGCTTGGCGGACCCAGACCCACGCCCGCGGGCGCGAAGTCGGCGAACTGGTTCCGGCCGCCGGTGCAGCCGGCGAAGGTGGCCCAGGCGCAGGCTTGGGCGCGGATCCACGGGTGGGCATGAATGGGGGTGCAGCAAGCCCAGAGATCCAACGTGTTGACAAAATCAAGACGGAGGTTTTTCGCTAATTTCGGCCCCTAGGGGCCCTCGCCGCGCCTCGCGGCCGTCAAGAAACGACTCAGAATGAAAAACCCGTCCTGGGGAATGGGTCGAGGCTGCCAGGGACCCCGCATTGAAAAAAACACGACATCGGATTTCTGGGAGGGCTGCCGAAAAGGGGCCCGCCAGGGCCCC